TAACAAAACACCACAGACTGGGTAGCTTATACACAACAGAAATGTGTTGCTCACTGTCTGGAAGTTGGAAGTCTGAGACCAGGGAGCTGACATGGTTGGGGGAGAGCCCTTTCCTGTGTTATAGCTTCTCCTTGTATCCTGACATGGCAGGTGGGGTGAGGGAGCCTCTTTTATAAAGAAAGCAATCTCATTCGTGAGGGCTCCCCCCGTGAAATTCATACGGTGTAGCCCTAGCCCTCAATGTGAATGCATTTGGAGATGGAGCTTTTAGGAGCTAATTAAGGTTACATGAAGCCATAAGGGTGGGGTTCTCGTTTGATAGGCTTGGTAGCCTTGTAAGAAGAGGGGGAGAGAGAGAGAGGGAGATTTCTCTTTCTTCACGTGCTGCACCAAGAAAGGTCCCCGTGAGGACACAGGGAGAAGGCAGCCATCTGAAAGCCAGGAAAAGAGCCCTCACCAGGGATGGATTCTGCACCTTGACCTTGGACTGATCCTGGACTTGCAGCCTCCAGGAGTGTGAAAACACAGATGTCCATTGTTCAAGCCGCCCAGGCTGTGATATTTTCTCATGGCAGCCCAAGCTGACAAAGAGAGCTGGCCTGCCTCTCTCCCGGGTCTGGGACTGTCCCGAGAGCAGAGCCCACCCTACGGTCACCACGCCGTCTTCCCTTCCTGACGCAGTGTGTGGGTATGGTACGATCGTTACGTGATCCACGACTGTCCACGGCTGACTTCTATGGACAAAAGAAGGCTGCTCCTATTGGATGCTCTGGTCTGTGGCCACTGTGGTTGTGGGCAGTGTTTTCTGCTCAGGTCACCCTCTGGTAGGGTCATCAGATAAAACACAGGGCACCCAATTACATTTGAATTTCTTCAACAAATACAAAATATGTTTTTAGCATAAGCATGTCCCCAATACTGCACTGGATATACTTACACTAAAAAGTTGTCTCCTGTTTATCTAAAGTTCAGGTTTAACTGGGCATCTTATCTTTGTTTTTGGCTAAATCTAGCACTCCTATTGTATGATCTTTTTCTAGAAGGTCCAGGAGAGCCGACCTCTTGACCCGAAGCAGTGCTTCTCAGAGCATCGGCAGCTCCTAGTTTAGAACAGAAACCTTTATGCCCCACGCGGACTTCAGAGGCAGAACCTCTGAGGATGCCAGCATTCTAGTTTTTGACATCCCTCCGGGTGATTCCACGTGACTCTGTAGTTTGAGGGCCGTTAACTAGAGATCCATGCTGATGGTAGGAGATTCCTGCTCTGTTGCTCACTCAGGGCCTTGGACTCAGCTGCCAAAGTGTAGTAACACCAGTGTTATCAGGGACATTACACGGTGTTCTTTCCATGGGTTTCCATGGATTTATAGAAGATTGCACAGGGTCATATGTGCACAGTGTTCTCTGCTGGGTCTCAGGGCTCTCTATTCTACCCGTCCTGCTCTGTTCCCAAGCCTGCACAGGCTGTGAACCAGAGAATTTATTCTCCAGGCTGGATCTGCCAGTGGCGGCAGCGCGGGGCGGGGCCTGGTGGCGGAGGGACACGTGTGCCGGGGGAGGGAAGCAGGAAGTGACTCCGGGAGTGGAGCCGGCGAGCCTGCGGCTGCGGGGGCTGATGGAAGTGGAGTGAGGGCTTGAGAGGGCATCTAGTGAGTCGGCTTTTCTCTCCTTCGGCACCTTCGGTTGGGCTGGAGGCCCGGGGTCTGGGGCTGTCAGGACGAGTGTGGGACTCGGAAGGGGCAGCAACATGGAGTTTGGAAGGGGGCGTCCCTGGGAGAGGAGGGGGCTGGAGCAGAAGCAGGGCGGCATTGACAGGTGGCAGAGGAGGGAGAAGGGTGCCGGGAGCCCCCTCCTCTGCCCCTCTTCAGGGCGAGCTGGAGGGTCTTGACCTGCCTTCCTTTGACAGTGGTTCCCCAAGATCTTCATTCAGTGCTTCAGGGTGGGCGTGGGGGGAACCAGGGATCCCTGGGAGCGGACCTGGCTGCAGTTCCAGTTGCTCCGGGTCCCTTCCCACTGGCTCTGGGGGTCAGCAGGACCTGTTGAACTTGACTGGGAGTCTGGCTAAGGGACAGCAGGCCAGAGATAATGCATTTCTAACCAACTCCCAGGTCAGCCGGTCCTCGGACCGCACTTTGAGTGGGTATTAGAGAACATTTTCCACAGTCATATCCGTCCAAACTGGAATCATTTTGCTCAGTTCTACTGGAGTCAGGGTGTGTATGTAGGTTTCATCATGTGCTGTTTCCACCTCTGCAACTTTTTCACTAGTATCTTGAAGCTGACTCTTGGAAGCAGGGTAACAGGTTTAAAAGGGAAAGAAAAGAAATAGATCCCGTATTAGCTGGGAGCCCTGGGCTGCTCTTTGTGGGGTGGTGTTGACATCTTTAAAGTTGGAGCAGGCAGAGAATAATCCCTTCTGCAAACTAACCGAGGCTTATGTATTAATACCAGCTCATGAGAAAGGCTGAGGCCCATTGTGGAGGTGGCTTTTTGAGGTGCCCTGGCCAACGCTCCCTATTCATAAGGTGCTCCTGGTCTACCTGCTGGAGAAAACATTCTGTTCTCCTGATTCTTTGCAGCAGTGGCCCTGCCAGTCCCTCCCTTGTTGGGCAGGAAAACTCCCTTTCTAAGCTCTCAGCCTTGAGCAAGTTGTTCCAATTTTAGACTAGCGCTTTCCACTTTGATGTGTGTCAGAAGCCCCCATGGGACCCCACAGAATGCAGATTCTGGTTCAGCAAGTCTGGGGTGGGGCCTGAGAATCTGCATTTCTAACCTGGCTCCCAAGAGGACCCAGCACTGCTGGGACCACCCTTCGAGGAGTGAGGATTTAAAACAGCAAAGGGAAGAATCTTCCCCAAGGGACACTGGGCTTGCTTTGCCAGTGATGCATCTGCTCTTGTTTGGGATGGGAAGGACGGTGGCCTTGGTCTTCCCTCTGTGTCCCCCTTTCTCAGGGTGCTCAGGAGTAAGCGGAGTCTTGGAAGAGGGTTTTCCCCTCCTACTACCCCCCAGGAACACCCACAAGCTCTCCTGTTTGTCAGCCCACAAAGCCCACGTTGACTCTGGCCTATTGGTAAATGTAAACAGTTTTCCTCTTTTCTGTAGTCGGTAAAAGGCACATTCAACACTGAAAAACAAAATTGCTGTTTTTTTTTTGTTATGACCTGTCTTGGGGGATAAGTACTAAGAGGGTGATAGCTATGAGCCTTTCTTTGTAAATGCTGTTTGAAGTTTTATCCACAAGCAACTAGAAATAGAAGATTGGTGTAATGATCTAGAAGTCCCGGTTTAAAAACAAGTGCAAACCACTCTTTTTGGGGTGCCTGAACATGATGACACATGTAAAAGGGTGGTTTTTTGAAAAAATGATTTTTTTTTCCCCTTCAGGGAGGCACTGGGGATTAACCCCAGGGCCTTGTGCACGCTAAGCACACACTCTACCACTGAGCTGTTCCCCCTATTCCCCCCAGAGTGATTGCTTTTCTTTATTTGGTGCAGTCATCATCCTGAATTCTACTTAGGCACAATCTGAATCCAGAGATTGTGTTTTTCTTCAAGGTTTCCTGGCACCGTGGCTGAGCCCGGGCTCACCTGGCTTATCTGGGTTCGCCCAGACTCACAGCCTTCCTAGGTTTGAATCCTGCTGTGTTGCTGACCCTTCTGGCATAAAGGCTCTGTCTACCCTCTGCCCTGGTTTCCTTCCAAGGTTCATAGAGAGAGGCCGCGTCTTCAGCTCTTGATCTGCAAGCCCAGGGTTGCTGGCTCCTCCCAGACCACTAGGGCCTGGCAGGGCTGAGCCCAATGGGGTCGCATCCAGCCCTGCGGGTGCTGGGAGAACAGGGGGAGCTGAATGAGCCCTTTGAGATGAGGCCCTGAGCCCCAATGTTTATGTACCAGAGCACAGGGCTTTTTAACAAACAGGTTTCTCCACCTTGTAACTTTCCACAGCGAGAGTCTGACTCCCTATCATTTCAGAGCTAGGTTTTAAAACATGTCCAAATATAGAGGAGGTCCCTGGAGCAAGAGTAAGGAGGAAGGGTACTTCCCTTTCCTTCCTTGGTGGGCAGTGGTGTAACTTCTTCAGCAGCAGGCGTGCTGAATGGACTGGGGGAAACGCCAGTTGTGTCTCTGTCTCCTTGTCCTTGCTAAGTGTCCTATTCAAGATAAGCTGACCCTTTTCAATGCCACAAATATTTTTGAGGGGTGCCAGAAAGCCCTATTTTACAGGGGTGCCAACTGTGAAAAAGCATCATCCCTGTTTTTGAGCAACTAATGATCTAAAAAAGGAAGGCAAGCCCACACAAAGAAAGCACCAAAGAGGTGCCCTGGGATGGCAGTGGAGAGGGACCAGGAAAGCACGGAATCGCAGTTGGCATTAGGTGGGCAGCAGAAGATGCTCTGGGTCTGATGGCTGGAGGCTGGGAAGGAAGCCATGCCACGGGAGGGAACCGGATGAAGAGAGACTTGGAGGAGGACCATCCCAGGCTTGTCGAAGGTTCCATGAATAACTGGGTGGAGTTGGAATACGGTGGCCACGTGGGGCGCAATGGTTGAAGAGTTGTTGGGCTGGTTAAAGGTCAGTCGATGGAGTGTACCCTTGGCAGGCTGTGGGAGCTGCTGTGGGAGCCGCTGTGGGAGCCACTGAAAGTTTGATCAGGACTTAGATGGAACAGCTTCAAGAGGAAATCTGAGCTGGTTACCTGCATTCAGAGGAGACAGAACTGATGATGGATGGTAGACAAGGGCAGGTAGAACAGGCAGAATGTGCGAGAAGGCTGCAGTCAGACCCTCCCCGCTCCCTTCCTCCAGGCTAAATAATTCACGTTCTTGGAGCTGCTTCTCTTTGGAACTATTTCCCGATGTTGTCATGTTGTCACTTCCTTCGCGGCATCTCCTCCTCTGGCATCTCCCTAGGCAATCTCCCTAGAGCCCCTTAGAACACGCGTGTGCCACCGGGAGGGACCGCCGATGCTGACCCTCTCCTGCCTCTCTGCACACAGCCGTATCCAGCATGCTCCAAGGCCACAGCCCCGTGTCCCAGGCCTTGCTGGGGACCTTCTTCACCTGGGGGATGACCGCAGCTGGGGCGGCCCTCGTGTTCATATTCTCTAGCGGACAGGTGAGTTGCCCTGACTCAGTTCCGGAGGTTCCTGGGGACCCTCTTAGCGAGCTCTGAAACCAGCCCCTCCGCACAGCAGGGCTACCAGACTCTCTAATGCCACCGGCCACACCTCCAGGTGGGGGAGATGTGAGTCCTGCCCTCTTTTTTCTCCCTTGTCCCCTCCATCTCTCTGCAGACGCACTCACCATCACCTGCTTCTCCCCTCCTGATTCGGAGAGAGTCAGGAGTGAGAAGACCAGTTACTCAGCCTCCTTTAGCTGTCTGCCTGATTTCTGTCTTCCATCTGGTTTCTCCTGGCCCTGGAGCAGGTGGTAATATGCACAATGATAGGAGAATAATAGGTTTGCACGTAACTCTCCTGCCCTGTGGCCTTGAGTTAGAGGTGGTTGAAAGACCTTGGGAGAGATGAGGGGGCATCTGTTCCTTTTCTGTTTCATGCCATCTCCAGGCTCTTCATCGCCTCCCCCATCAGCCTTGGGATGGATACACACAGACCCACCTCCTCAGGTCTCTACAGATCCCCATTCCCACCCCCCACCCCCATGTACCCCTACATCCCCCATACCTGACACAGGTACCCTCATCCCCACCCTTCACCCCCACATGTACCCACACTCCCCACCCCGTGCATCCCACACACCCTCGCATCCCCCACACATATCTCACACCCCTGCATTCTACACCCAGCCCCCCTTACACCCCTAACCGCATACCCCCGCACCTCCCCCACACATACTCCAGACCCTCCCCCCACACATCCCACACACTTCATCCAACTCCTCCCCAACCCATGCCCACCTCCTGTGCCTGACGTTCCTTCCTTTTTTCCAACCCTGTCTCCCTCAGTCCACTGCCTGGAGCCAACTATCCTTATCTTGATGGATGCAAAGTCAAATTGTAGGCAGGGTAATTGAGCAAGGGGTGGAGGATCTAGGTAAACATGCCGTGAGGCCGGTCTGGAAACTGAAACCTGTCTAGGAAGTTGGCCCGCCCAGCACTCTCGTGTCAGAGCCCTGTAAAGCAGCGTGGGGGTCGCTGTACGGTGGTACCTTGTGCGCCTCCCCCCACCTCCCCTCCTCAGTGGAGGTTTGGGATCCTGTGGAGACTTGGACCTTGAGACTCAGCCCCGAGTCCCAGGTTTCTGTCAACAGGTTGTGAAACCTTTTGAAACTCAGTCCCTGAATGAGAGACACCAGGAGCCAGAGGAGAGGTGACCAGGTGACCTCACCCTCTTCCTCTCTGATGACAGACACACCCGCTCTTCCGGGGTGCTGTCCTCATGCCCTCCTGGGGTAGAGCGGCCCATGTGTTCATCTTCACCAGTTTCGTTTGCGCGGAGAAGGAGTGATCTGAGTCAAAATAGCTGGGGTCTAGCTGGCCGAGCGGGCTGTGGGGACCTGAGCTAAATGCGGCGCTGCTGTGGGTGGAACTCCATAGCCCATGGAGCCCTGGCCAATGCCTTGGGGGCTTTTCAGAAGGGAGAAGCCATCACACGGGTGCCCCCTTCCCCTTTGGAGCTTCAGTGCCCCTAACTCATCTTGGGTTAGTGTAACCCGGAGGTTTTTAGTAGGAGGAATTGCTGAGACCTTTTCTCTGTGTGGAGGCATAGAGGGGGTCCCTAAGACCACCCACACACTTGGTGAGTCCTCCAAGGACTCAGCATAGAGTTGTACTCAGGCTAAGGTCCGTTACAGCGAAGGGACACGCGATAGGCTCAGCCAGGGAAGGACAGGCAGAGTCTGGAGAAATCTGAGCACAGGCTTCCGATGCTCCCTCCCTCCTGTGAGGGGTGCAGACAGTGCTTCTTCCCTGGCCTGGAAAAGGCGGTGACACGTCCAATGTGTCTGTCCAGGGATGCCCACTAGAGACCCATCCCCCAAGGTTTTTACTGGGGTCTGGCCACGTGCTGTGCTGAGCTCCCAACCCAAATTCTGAACTTGCAGAAGGCAAGCAAGTGCCCCCCATAAATCACCTGGTTTGTAAAACAGGCACAGGGACCCACCCTTATGGGGTGGGGGGTGGAGGGAGCAGTACCGCTGCCAGCTTCCCAGGAGCCAGCCAGGGACCGACCCCAAAAGCAGGACCCTCCAGAGGTGGCAGGCTCAGGTGGGCTATGTGAACCCTTTCTGCCCAGGAGGTGTGTGTGAGGAGCGGGGAGGGGCACAGCATGGGGAGACAGAGCCAGCCGCAGACATGAGTGGGGTGGGCTCTTCCCCCAGCCCCCCACCTCAGTTTTCACGCAACTTAAATGGGGGCTTCAGTGAGGATCCCTTGGGACAGTGGGCGGTTGGCCATCTGCTCCCTGTTGCCGTTATCAGCATTGGCTTAACTTCACTCAAAATTCATTTTCTTTTTTGGGGGGGTGGGGAGTAATGAGGTTTATTTATTTATTTTACTTATTTATATTTTTAATGGAGGTACCAGGGATTAAACCCAGATCCTTGGGCATGCTAAGCACACGCTATACCCCCGAGCTATACCCTCCCCCTCAAAATTCATCTTCTTGTTTGAAAAACCCTTTTTGAATTGTAGGAAACTTGGAAAACATGGAAAAGCTTAAAGAAATTGAAAAAAAAACCACTTCCTGATCCCACTTCTTAGGAAGGAAAACCAAATGTATCTGTTCACATTGATTCAGTTCGTATATGAGTATATATATTTGCTATTGAAGTATAGTCAGTTTACAACGTGGTGCCAGTTTCTGGTGTAAGTATATGAGAATACATAAGCACATACCTGTTTGCTTAGCATCACGAGGATCAAATTGTACGTGATGTTCTACCACCAGCATTTCTCACTGGGTATCACATGCATCCTCCCACCTCCCTAAAATGGTTCTTTGATAATTTTGATTACTTTGGTTACTTCAGTGGCTGTATAATATCCCGTCATAAAGATATATTGCCGTTTATTTAGCCTGTCCCCAACTGCTGGGCAATGAGTTTATGCCCCTTTTTCTTGCTTTTAGAAATAGTGTTATGATGACCATAAATCTTTGAGCACATACCTGATCGGTTCCTTGAGATAAATGTCTAAAAGTGGAATAACAGGTTTATTGATCTTAAATCAGTATAATGCTTCTTTTTTTTTTAACTGAAGTGTAGTTAGTTACAATGTGTCAATTTCTGGTGTGCAGCATAATGTCCCAGTCATGCATATATATATATGTATATATACATATATTACATATGTATGTGTGTGTATGTATATATACATAAATTCATTTTCATATTCAGTATAATACTTCTTAAAGTATGATGCTTCTCCTTTCAGGATCCAGTTGATTGCTGACTTTTTAATTCCATCTGTCTGCTTTGATTAAATTAGTTGGTTAGACCAACTTGGCCTATGTCATGACATGCCCAGAGAAGAATGTCATTTGTATGGCTCACTGGGGTTAAAACCTTCCATCCACCCCATAGCCACACAGAGGTGGAAAGAGGCTGCCCATACTTGGAGATGACTGAGCTGGTGGCACTAGGAACCTGGACCTCACTGGGAGTCTCAAGGGTCAGACCAATCAACACTTCAACATGTCTGTAGTGTGTCCATGTGGCTATAGATTATATCCCTAACTTAGGGCACTTCTTTAAAAAAAAAAACAACTTTTAATTGAAATATACAATACCTGTAGAAAAATGCACATTTTATAAGTGTGCAGCTTGATAACTTTTCACCAGTGCCCATGAAAATAGTACCCAGATCAAGCACTGGAACAGCACCCCCCCCCAGCAGCACTTTCAGGCTTCCTTCCAGTCATTGCTCCCCACCCCCAACCTCCACTCCAAGAGCAGTGCCTCTCCTGGTCTCTAACAGCAGAGATTTTTGTTTCTGTACAGTGTATAAATGGAGTAAATCATACAGTCTATGCTCGTCTGTGTCTGGCTGATTTCACCCTATGTATTTTCCTGTTTACTGAGTGCCCCTGCCTGATGGTGAGCTTGTTTACCTATATATGTGTGTTCTCTGTGCCAAACGGTATTCTGTCGTGTGAACACGTCCCAACGATGTATCCATTCTGCTGTTGGTGGACCTTCGGGTAGTTTCTTGTTTTCAGATCTCATAAATAGGGCTGCAGAGGGCATTTTCGTACATGTGTCTGGTGGGTCCAAGTATGCATTTCTGCTAGGTCACTGCTTACGAGTGGCGCTGCTGGGTCATAGGATCTGCTTATGAAGGTTTGCTTCTGGTGGGTCTACCAGCTATCTTTCCAAAGTGGCTGTGCCAGTTTGCACTCCCATCTGCAGCATGGGAGGGTTTTGGTTGGTTCATAGGCTTCTTGCCGACACTTGTTGATTTCTATTGTTTAGACCAGCTATTTACTACTAAAGGCTTATAGCTGTAATTCACAGGGAGAGCCGGGGTCGGGGCAAAACATGTGGGCCAGTGCAAGCCAAGGGTCTCACTGAAAGACAGCTCTGATTGGCTGTAGGATGGATGGAAGGTTTAAAAATATTTTTTCCCCCTGGTTCTTGGCTCATTTTATAAAGACTCAGGTCTAAGCTTCCAGATAGGCTCTTGCAAGCTCAGGCATGGGCTAGTCTTTACTCATGTGGTTCTCTTAAGCCTTTTGGTTTCCTCTTGTCCCAGGAAACAGCCCTTAGAAACTGAAACATCTTGTTTTCATTTTCAGAGGCAGATCTTAGATGGAAGCCTTGGCTTTGCTGCAGGGGTAAGTAGCATGTGGTAGGAGGAATGTTAAGTGGAGAGTGTTTATTCCAGTGTTTCTCAAATTCTCCACGAATTCTCCACGCAGAGACAGAGGGACCCTTGGCATGCTGGTGCTGGTATAGAGACAGTGAAGAATGCTAATCACTAATCATTGGACATAAATTCTTTCTCAATTCAGATACTGTCCTGTCCTTTGAATCAAACTGTTAGCAGAGAAATCCTTAAAAGTGATTTTTTCACGGTGGACTACTTTGGGATTTGGGGCATTCTTAGAGTTCAAAGAACAAAATGACAATATTATAAAAAAAAATCTGTTTTTTCTGTCTTCTTTACATGAGCACGTTTTCTCTGCTTACATTAAGAAAAGAAAAACAAAAACCCAGAAAAGTAGAATTTAATTGGTGTTTAACCCTGTCTTATTCTAGCAATGACTAGTTAATGTTTATCCACAAATACATGAATGTATTGAAAAAAGTCTCATCCATGAAAATATGCATTTCCAAGAATATTTTACTTTTGCATGTTTAATATTTATGAAATGGCATATTTAATTTCTGTTATTATGACTCTGTTCTCGACCACTAATAGTTTTAATGGTAATTTAATCCAGCAAATTGTTATTCAAGCAGTTAGAGCCCTAGGCTCACAAGAAATCTTTAAAAATTAAATTGAAGTGTATAGAGATATTTTCTTGCACAGCAGCATGATAAAAAAAGACCAATAATAGACATTCTAGTATAAAAATATAAGTTGCTCCAGTATAAAATTCTGTGGGGAAATGGAATTGAAATACAAGTCAAGGAGAAAAAGGAATGTTGTAATTTTTTTACTTTTGAAGAAAAACTTGCTCATGCATTTTTGTGTGTAGAATATAACCCTCAAACAGGAAAGTGTGTAAAGTGTAAACACATAGCTTAGTTTGTATATATTTTTAGGTGGGTAACGGGGTGGATGAGGGGAATCAAATCCCTGTGCTGGTTAGATCTCACTGGATACATTTACAACCACTGATGAAACAAGTTTTATTTAAACACATCAACATATTTATATGACAGAATTGACATCTTTTGCAACTCTTCAAATTTGAGATGAAAACATTTCAGATGTGAATTTCAAATTGAGCGAGGAGGGTACGTAGTTTTTCAAAATTCTTTCAGGGGTTACACAGGTACAAAGCTTGAGGAATCCTGTTCTGTGCTGACCAGGCACTTGGTTGGTTTACTCTTTTAGGCAAAAAGCCATCGTAAGATTTATACATCAAAAGACAAAAACAAAAAAACAAACAAAAGCCAAAATGAAACAAGAAAGGAAACGAACAGACAAAAACCAGGTGGAGAATAATAGCCTTCAGGACGTGTAAGAATGAATTTGGGAGCCTCACATCATGCAAATATGTGTTCCTTTAAAAATGTCATCAGATCTGTATATTAACATGTTTGTTTAACTAGGAGGTTTAAAAATAGTTTTACTTCTGATTTTTTAAGTTGTTGGTTGGAAGAAAGATTCTGAAAGTTATTTTTGTGTCCTTATTAGAAGATAAGTCACTGACTTTTCTAAGACTGGCCTTGAATATATGCTGGTTGCACAAAGGCACTCCTTGACAGGTCTCCTGATACAGAGAGAAAAATGAAAGCCTGATGGGGGAGGCAGCTGGGACTCAAACTCAGAAAAAGTCAGTGGCATTGGTAACTTGCAGTGGATTCTTATAAATTCTTCCCCAAACTAGGGAAAGGCAATGGAGCCCCAGTGGTTTGAGTTGTAATAATTGTTTGTACTTATCATGGACTGATTTATATTTAAAATAGTCATCCTATTGGCTAAGACAGTGGTTCTCAACCGAGGGTGGGGTGAGGGGGTAGGCGATGATTTTGCCGGCCCCCCTGAGGGGACATTTGGCACGTTTGGTTGTCACAACTGGTATCTAGTGGGTAGAAGCCAGGGATGCTTCTAAACATCCCACGATGCACAGGACAGGCTCCACCACCAAGAATTGTCTGCCCCAAAGTGTCCATTGTGCCTAGTTGAGAGCATTTTGATGTGTTATTTCTAATTATAGAGTAGAATGTGTACAAATTTGGTTGTATTTAAAGTTAAAAAAGACAAAGAAGGAAAAAGTCCCCTTGCTTCTCCCCCAGTTTCCCAAAGGTCACCACTGTTAACCCTGAGCGCGTATCCTTGGAGAACTTAGATTATGCAAACGCCAAGCATCAGGACAGTTAGATGTCCCACAGGGCCTCGTGTCCTTCTTCAGCACAGCTTTGAGATGCTCTGAATCTAGAAAAAGGGAAAACTGGCCATCAGACCGTTGGCTGGGGTCCTGCTGTGCCTGGCACAGATGTAACATGTTTCTACAGTCAGTTCTGCATTCATTTATGTGTATTAAAATCTATCTCCAATAAAATGCTGCAGTGACATACGTACGTGATATATAATTGTGTCCTGGAACAAGCATTTCCGTAAGAGAGATTCCTGGGAGAAAGGACATGGGTATTCCTTTTTTCTTTTTTTTCACTGGTATTGATTCATTTATTTTATTTTATTTTATTTTTTTAAGTTGAAGTATAGTTGATTTACAATGTTGTGTTAGTTTCAGGTATGCAGCAAAGTGATTCAGTTATATAGAAATCTATTCTTTTTCAGATTGTTTTTGTATAGGTCATTACAAGATACTGACTCTAGTTCCCTGTGGTATACAGTAGACTCTTGCTGATTATCAATAATTTATATATAATAGTGTGTATTAGGCCACGGGTTTTCCTAATATGCCTAGCAATATCTTCTGCAGGTTGTTTTTTCTCATTAGCAGGGCCTTGGAAGCATTAATCAGTCCTTCTTATATGACTCTTCTTGAAATCCCTTTGCCTGTATTTCTCCTGACTCTGTAAATTTCTCTCCAGGTCTCTAGTAATCATTGTCATTCTCTTCTCAGTACCAGTTGTCTGGCCTTGATTCTTGCCTGAGGAGTGAACGTAATAAGGACAAATGTTACTGTTTTCAAAAAAAAAAAGGATTGTCATTATTTCCTATTAGATTCCTAGAGTAATTCACCTTTAAAGCTGGAAAAGATTTTAGAGAATTGTCATAACTCATATTTATTGAGTCCTTACTATGGACAGGGGGCCTCTGCCAAGTACTTTACCTAGATCATCTAATTTAATTTTCATAACAACTCTATGAGGTGAATACCAGGTCCTGTCATTTACCCTCACTTTACAGATGTGGAAACTGAGGCACAGCGAGTACAAGTAAGTTGTTCAGGCTCATACAGGGAGCAGAGCCAGGACTCGAACCCACTGTCTGCCTGTTGAGTTCCCACTCTTAGACCGCAGTGCCTTCTAGCTGATGTCTGGTCCAGCTGCCTCTATGTACAGGCAAGAAACAGAGCCAGAGAGAGTTAGTGACTTATCCAGAATTTAAAAATGCTAGATGGTGGCAGAGCTAGGATCAAACCCAGATGAGAAGTCAGGGGCTGCCAGCATTTAGCTGTGTAACTTTGGCAAGCTCCTCAGTCGTCCTGGACCTCAGTTGAGTCTGCTGGGAACTGAGGACATGAAATGGATGGTTCATTAAGAGCTTCTTGGATCTGCATGTTTAATGGGGCAAGTTTCTGCAAAAGTGAGCTTATGTCTTTTTGTTGTAAGGCAGTCGTGAAGGGTTTCAGTTTTTGGTCCACGTATTCACCGACTCACCTATTCAACGGTACATTTAAACGTGTAATTGAATAGCCTTTCATCCAAGGGAGAAAAGCAGTCATTATCCCCAAAGATGAACCTTTCGATGGATTTGGATGAGGCTAAACCATCGAGGGTCACCATTTTAATATTTGTTGCACTGGTTTTGATGTCCCTTTTTTTTGTGAGACTTGAACTCACTGAGAATCTCTAAATCAATGTATCTTCTCTCTCAAGGAAGAAGCACTTGTTTGGAATAAATATGACCATGAAACTGCAGAAGAGAAAGACAGGCTACCAATCAAGGAACTTACTTCTAAGCATGAAAAGGCAATTTAATATCTATTATTTAATCCCGTAGGGAGCTGGCTTCTTATGAAAGACATGATTCTTCTTAAGGGGTTTTTGGCTGAGTCTGCTTTTGTGCAGCAAGTGGTGAATGATGTTTTCTGCAAATAACTGACTCATTGTTGGAAGTTAACGATGCTGTCCCATGATGGCCTTTGAGTCTGGAGGGACGATGGTGGCCAGCTGCTCTCCCCTTCCAAGGAGAGATGGATGGGAAGGAATGGCTTAAATTGTAGCGTGAGGGATTCAGGGAGGGGACTCCAGCCAGATTCATTGGAGAGGTTTATTCTAGAATAAATAGTAGAGAGAGAAGGGATGGGGGTGGAGAGCAGCCATTGAATTGGGTCTTCAGAAATCCTAGCTTTTATCCTCCTGGTTCTATGGATCCTGGATTGCGAAGTAATAATTGCTGGTACCTTTTCTCCTTTTTATTGACCCCAATGTGTCCTAATGGAGATTTTTCAATGGGACCACACTGAAGTGGGCCGGACCACCACCAGACAGTATGAAGGGAGCATTGTAACGGCCTCTGATGAAACTTCTTCAGAGATTTTTGCTCTGTGTTTCTCTGAGCCAAGACTTCCCTCTTTCTGAGGCTGAGTGAAACAAAGAGCCCAGATGATGTCCCGGGGATGCTGAACGTGCTTGGACCTGGAGCAGATCCCATCCCCAGCATCACCTGGACGGGGCAGATCACTTTGGGAGCTTCAGGGCTGTTTTTCCCTGTGGACCTCCTTTCTTAAATCTGCTTTTTGAAGCTTTTTGGAAACCAGGGAGCCCCAGAGCCTCCTAGATTCTACTCTCTGCAGCTTTTCTCCTGCACTGGAGTGCAATGACCGGGGAGCAGATGTCGGTCTGTTTTGGGGAGAAGGCTGCCCTTTAAGTAGGCGATCAGTGAAGTGAGGGAGTGTTCCAGGGTTGGTTTGCTGTGACTTTGAGCCACCTGCCTCACGGGTCTCACTTGACAAGCTAAGTGTGGCAT